TCTCGTATAGCAGTAGGAGTCGTACTTCTCTAACGCAGATCTAGGATTATTAGAAAATGGTCGGCAGGTGTGGTCGGCAGATGAGCTTACCTTTTTAGTCTCGCTATCGACAATTTGTGAAATCTGCTTTATAGCTGCCTCGTTAGGGAGAACTAGACTCTCTAGAGCAACAAGTTTGTTCCAGAACTTCCGGATCGAGCGATGCTATTGGTTATAAGCAGTCGCAAAAGTAGAAGAGGCTGCCTAAAAGGCAAAAGTTCCAACAGAGTTCGCTATCTCCTTGTTAATCTCTTTTGATAACAAAGGATTGAGAATCGTTTCTTAAGGAAGGCATTCGTTACTAAGGCCCCTAAGTGCTTTATCGCATCGTTTACTAAGGGTGAGGGTATCCTATTCCCACTTAACCTGATCCTCCTTTTGAAATGTTATCTTTGATTTGCTTTCACTATCTCTAAGCTTAAGGAACCAGTTAGCTTTATCGATTTCGGCCTGTTCGTCGGGTAAGAGAGCTAGATTAGTCTCTGCTTGCTTCTTAGCACTAGAGAAGTTAGCCTTTGATAGGAAGTAGGAATACCGACCGCAGATGCCGACTATAGACGCCGACTACGAAACTTACGCTTTCCGGTCATATTCTGCTGTATACATCGATCTCTATTCCTTAACTAGGGCAGCTTAACGGTCCCTACTTAGCTCGCTAAACTCGCTAGACTGCTTGATCTGAGCCTTCTTGAACCGTACGAACGATTTATTACGAGCCTTTCTGTGTCGATCCTAAGCTCTCTTCTCTTCGTCTATAGCGGCAGTACGCTCGCGCTCCCGTAGGGTATTCGGCTTTAGAGAGTATTCTTCAAGTGACTTCGCAGCTGCCCCGAGCCTAGTACGCTTATTTTCCAGCGCCTCTAGCGTAACATTCTTCCGTTTCGGTATAGTGGTATCGGTACGGAGGTAGGTACGGACGTAGGTAGGGATGTAGGTGCGGAGGTAGGTGCGGTAGTGCGTGCGGTAGTACGTGCGGAGGTGGATGCGTAGGGTAGAAGCGCTTTGAGAAATAAAATTTCTCTTATCTGAGAGATTTAAGGTTTAGGCAGCAGCCGGAACCCTGTCCCGTAACCCCGAGCACCGACACTACCCTCCATAACAACATCACACTTCCGCGCCTATACTAAGCTCCTCTGCTACTACTATTATCGTCGATTTCCTAAGTGCCCCTCCCCCTACCTAAATTTTATTTCGAATATGAGTTGTTGTCGCTTCATTCGCCATTACTAGGACAACTGCTATAGGGTATCATATATAAATACTACATTATCTAGAGAAATAGTTAGACTACTAACTTCTTAAGGTATCGTAGTACTTTCTAGTAAAAAAGTGAAATCTCGTAGCTAGAGTAGAACGTGTTCGGCAGACGTAGTCGGCGTATAAACCATATGACATAATATGAAATATACTAGTGTAGATATATATAGAACCCCTGTCCTGATTACTAATTACCTTCCCGCGCGATCCGACATACTCGAGAGATAAGCGGCTTAGCGATTTCCGGGTCTTCCTTATACCTACCAACTTATCCTCTCTTGCTTTTTTCTTATCCTACATATTCCTACCAAGTCGAAACTCTCAAAATGCCTAACATAGACACACAATCTCTCTCTTCCTACGTCTCTTCCTCTCTTCCTAACGACGACGACGACCAGG